CTAAACATTTATAAATAAACTTCTGACTGGTTGACCATCGTGGCTGCCAAAGGTTAAAAAAAAAAAAAAAAAAAAAATAAACTATCAGATGTTAATCAAGTTAACTATTCTTTACTCAGACTATCTGATGATTCAGATGAAGAAGAAAGTAATATGTCAAATAAAGTTATTTGTTACTTAGCTTTACCAAAAGAAGCTCAGGAATATAATATACTAGAATGGTAGAAAGAACGAGTTAATATCTTACCAGTTTTGTCTAGATTAGCAATGAAATACTTATTAATTTCTGCTACTTCTGTACCAAGTAAAAGGTTATTTTCCAATGCTGGTCTTCATTTATCTGCCCATCATTCTTGCTTAAAGCCAGAGTTGTTGGCATCTATGTTGTTTTTGAAAAGAAACATAAAATTATTTGATGTTTTTAAATTAGAAGATAAATAAGATTAGGAATTTTCATGCTATTATTTTTCCTCAAGAATCATTTTTGGTTGACAGACTTTCAATCTAGTTTGGGATTTTTGTTTGTTACTAAGTTAAAAAAGTATCTTTTTATGAATAGTTGTTATATTACTGATGCTCAGAAAAGTATAGAGGATAAACAAATACAGGTTAATTTGTGGAAAAATTGGCTGGATATAAAAAAGTTCTTGCAAGGAAAAAATATTCACTGGCTTGAAATTGATATAGTTTACTCAGTATTTTTAGTAAAAAAAAATTTATTGCATATTGTGTCTTAAATTTTTTTAAATAAAAGATCTTGAGTTTGTTTGATCTCTCATTTATAAGTATGTTATTAAGCATCCTACGCAGTCTTTTTAAGCATTCATTTTTTTTTTTTTTTGACTATGTATTACTTTGTTGTCGTCTCAACAAGCTTCCTACTTATGCATTAACTGTTATCCCAACAGGCCACAATTTATGACTGCCATCTCAGTAGGCCAGTCGAAAACATACATTGTACATTTTGGGACAGAGAGAGTAACCAGAATGAAAGTAAAATATTTTCATCAATTTCTTATGCTTACTAAAATATTATTACTTTGTATTTACTCAATTACCTCATAATTATTACATACTTATTAAATCACTTTAATCATACTAGTTATATGTTCAATCAGGTAAATAAGATTAACATTAGACTCACATATCAAGCAACTATTATATTTTGTTATAAAATATCCAAATTTTAGCACACAACAGCACTATATATACTCAGTATAATGAGATATGTGATTTTTAATTTTTCATGATTTAAAAAAATATTTAATATCGCATAATTGTTTTAAAAATTGATCTAAATTATTTGATATGCATGATACTATATGCAATGCTCTATCATTATTTGCAATTTTCAAAACTATTGCTACTACATCTACTAATTTTACAATTCCAAATATAAATACTACTATTATTATATCTGAAGATGCTAGAATTACTACTGTCATATTTGAAAAATGGAATTTAACTATTAAACTAGTTAATTTATTATTTTTTCAATTTAGTTGAATCAATAATTTGCATAATTTTTTTTTGAGTCTGTAAATATAAGATAGGTAGCTACTTTATGTTCATTGTATTTTTTTATTAATAAAAGGAAAGTATATAAATTTAAAATAAGTTCCACAAAATATGACAAAGTTGACAGGACTCAAAAAAAAAAACTATGCAGATCATCAGTCCAACTAAATCAAAAAGAGAGATAATTAAAGTTTTATTCTTATTTATAACTTTGTCTTGTATTAAATTAATAAATTGGTGAAACTTTCTATTCAATGATATAATACTAAAATAAAATATTAACTAATTATTATTTAACTTGACAAATTAAATTCATGCATGTGATCTCGTATATACAAAAAATTATAATATGCCTATTGCTATCACTATAAACTATCTCAGTATTGCCAACAAAATTTTTACCGGCATGTGATGATATCCAGAAATAAGCCAAAAATGAATCTCAATTCAGCAATTTGGTGTAATGTTACATGATCAGAAAAACTTAAAACAAACGTTTGTTTTGTCAAAATTCACTTATAACACTAAATCTATATAGGAAATCACCTTTTGCACATTAATAAAAAGTTTTCCTTGAGCGATTTTACTATTAAAACTCCTCTAACTCTAATACTAGCTTAGGTCCTAACCCTAATATAAATGAATTTAAAGAATTTTGTATATCATATGCTAGTAAAATTTTTGTTGATGATATTAGAGAAGATTATCACTATATTGATATATAAATCAAAAATCTGAAATTTAAACTTCAAACTCAAAACCTGAATAAGTATTTGTAATTCGAATAACTATGATTATTCAAATAACTATAATTATTCGAATAATTATAATTATTCGAATAATTATAGTTATTCGAATAATTATAGTTATTCGAATATGATTAGTCATTTGGTGAATATTCGAATAGATATTTGCTGATTCAAATTATTCGAATATTATTCGAATAAGGAATCTGTAAGCTCTATATATAACTAACTAAATTAGTAGTATAAAAAGACCTATAAAGATGAACAAGACATTAGTAAAATTATAAAAAAAATACTAAAAATATATAAACTTTAAAAAGTTATAAACAAGAATGTTACTAGAATGTGATACAGAAAATCTAATAACTACTACCTTCAAAAATAAAATAGTTTTAAGGTTAAATATAAGAATCCAAGTTATAGAAAAATAACTATTCTTGTAATTTAATAAAGTTAATACTAAAGATATAAAATTAGAAGATTTAAAATAAAATATCCAAGCAGAGATGTTAGGTATGACAATTGGTAAAAAACTTTTAGATAAACTTCTTAAATAAGTAATATAAAAAAGTTACACATATAATCAGTTATACTTTTGTTTTATGGTAATTAACAATTTTTTTGTCTTAACATATTAATAAAATCAAAATCAAAAGTTATTTTAATACTAAAATATATATATATTTTTTATTTTATTTTATTAAAATTCTTGAAACTATATATATTTATAATTATATAGAATTTTTTAATACTTAAGTCTAGTATTACTTGGCTACTCTATTGGTACCTAAATGCAACCTGCTGTACTATCTTAGTTAGAAATAGACTGCTTATCTAACTACTTAAAGTTATACCAAAAAAGTCTTCTCTTTTCTGTAATAAGCATATTAATTGTTTTTTAAGCTTTCTTCTTTATTCAGTTTATTTTTTGTACTTTCTTTTTCTTTTCTTCTTTCTTTGCCATCTTATTCTTCTTTGTTCTTTTCTCTAATCTTTTTTTAGTTCAAGCATCATTTTTATTTTGCTTGTTATATTAATTTTTTTTTTTCTATTTTTGTATTTTTCTATATCAAACTCTTTATACTTGGTCATAAAATGTATTCTATACTGTTTTTGTTACTATATCTATGCATCTTTGTATTGTCTGTCTATCTAGAATCTAACTAATTCTTTTTCTATCTTATTTATTATTAGTCCTTTTATCAAAGCTCTTCTATTAGTAATTTCTTTTGCTTCTGTTTTTCTAAATAGTGTCTTATATAGCACTAGAGGCAGGATTCTAACTTTTTCATTTTCTTTAAGGCTATTCTATACTGCTGCCATTGCTGCCTTTTGGATTCTCTTTTACAAGCTTTTTTGTTCAATGCAACTTACTAAATGTGCTTGAATTTTCTTTTCACCTTTTTAATATATTTGGCAGTCAATCATTGTATATATTTTTGGTTTTCTTTTATTTAATTTTTCTAGCATTAGTAGGCAATTCATTATACATTTAATTGCTATTGCTTTTCTTGTACTAAGTTTTCTGTTGTGCAATGTATACTTTTTGTTTTGTTTATCTCTTTTCAAAAGCTTGACTAATTATATCAAATATTCTTAGTTTCTGGTTCTAATGCTTGAATTGGATTTGTTTTTCTTTAACTAATTCTAATTCTGACATTTGTAACTATTTTGCAAAGAAGTCTTATTGGTATATTAACTTTTCTGTTTTCTTATTCTAAGTAGTACTCTATTTTGTTATACTTGATCTTCTTTATAGATATTGTCCTTTTATATGTAGCTTCTTTTTTTGCAAATAAATCTGCTTTGTCATTTCACTTGTCATTACTGTGACTTTTAATTTTAACTAGTTCTATTCTATTGTTCTTGCTTTTGAATAAACCTACAATATTTATTATCCATATTACTTTTTTCTTTTTTAAGAATTTGTCATCTTCTACCTCTTGAATTCACTGTTAATATGCCTTAATGCTGCAAGGTTATCTGTGTGCATTTCTATATACTTTCTCTTTGATATAATTAAAATTGCTAATTATATTGTTGCTAATTCTGCTGTTGTTGCTAAGGGCTACCTTTTGAGTCTCAATATCATTTCTTCCTCTGGCTGGTTTTCTTTATTACTGACCTGTATCCAACCAATGCTTGTTTTTTTTATACTATTTTTTCCTTCCTCCTTATATAATGCTCTATTTGTATAAAGGATATATTTGTCTTTATTTCTTATTTTGTTTTTTGTTAGGACTTCTATTAAGTAATCTGTATCTTTATTATATAATTTTTGTTTCTTAATTAATTTTATCTCTAGTTCTTCTACTTGTTTTAGCCTAATTAAACTTCTTTCTTCTTTTTTTTATTCTTTTATTGTTCTGTTTTCTAGCATTTGTTCTAATGTTGTATTAATCTTATTACTGCTTTTCTCTACTAATGCTTTTGAAACTACCTTTATATTATTGTTTCATCTTATTCACTTTTTACAATTATCTATTATTTGTTCTGTTTTGTTCTCATATGCTTTGCATTTACTTATCTTAGTATATGTCTTGTCTTCTACTTTCTGCAATAGCCAATACTTAGCTAAGATTTTTTTTTTTTTTTAATATCTTACTAAGTTGCTGATTGTGTTTTAGTTTATATACAATTTACTTTTTTTTTCTTCTGTTTTCAGATATCTTTGTCAGTTAATTATTAGCACCTATGTGTTATAGTTTCTAATCTTGTATTAGTTATATATTTCTTTACTTGTCTATATTATTAATATTTTTTCTTTTATTTTATTGAACTATTTGGCTTTTTCTCTTTATATAACAGCTCTAAAAGATTTTTAAACTGTCTTCATGTGATTAGATTTTTTCTTTTTATATTCATAAGTTGGTTTAAATATATCAAACTCCAATCATTAATTATATTATTACTTGTTGTTTACAATTTAATTCTAAGTCCCTTATACTTATTTCATAATTA